CCAAAAAAACCTAAAACAAACAAACAAAAAATGGTGTTGGAAAATCTGGTCAGTTATATAGAAGACAGAAATTGGATGACTTTCTAACACATTCATAAAAATAAAGTCAAATGGATTAAAGGCTTAAATAGAAGACCTGAAACCATAAAACTCCTAGAAGAAAACAGGCAGTTACCTCTCTGACATATGGCTTAGTGATTTTTCTTTTTTGTATCTGTCTCCTCAGATAAGGACAACAAAAGCTAAGATAAACAAGTGGGCCTCTAACAGCTGCAAAACTTCTGCACGGCACAGGAAACCCTCAGCAAAACAAACAGGCACCCTACTGTATGGGAGAATATATTTGCAAATGATATATCTGAAAAGTGGCTAATATCCAAAATATACAAAAAACTCATAATGACTCAACACTATAAAAACAAATAATCCAAATAAAAAATGGGCAGAGGACCTGAATAGACATTTTTCCAAAGAAGACACACAGATGGCCGACAGGCACATGAGAAGATGCTCCACATCACAGACCATCAGGGGAATGCAGATAAAACCACCATGAGATGCCACCTCACACCTGCCAGGATGGCCACCATCCAAAAGACAAGAAATACCAAGGGCTGGCGAGGATGCCGAGCGAAAGGGAACCTCCTGCACTGCTGGTGGGAACGTAAACTGGTGTAAAGCAGTATCGAGATTCCTCAAAACAGTAAAAACAGAAATACCATACAGCCCAGCAAGTTCACTTCTCGAAATTTATCTGAAGAAAATGAAATCACTAATTTGAAAAGATATATGCACGCCTATGTTCATCGCAGCATTATTTACAATAGCCCAGATATGGAAAGAACCCAGTGTCCACAGGTGGACAAACAGATAGGAAAGTTGTGGTATATACACACTACTGAGAATCGGCCAGCCATAAAAAAGAATGAAATCTCGCCATCTGTTTCAACTTGGATGGACCCGGAGGGCACTATGTTAAGTGAAGTAAGTCAGAGAGAGAAAAACAAATACCATACCTCACTTACGTGTGGAATCTAAAAAACAAAGCGAATGAATAAACAAAACAGAACAGGAACAAACTCATAAGAGAAAACAAACTGGTGGCTGTTAGACGGGAGGGCGGTGCGGGGATGGACGGCACAGGGGAAGGGGACCAAGGGGCGCTCGCGCGTGGGTATCAAGTCAGTCACAGGGATGGAAGCAGAGCAGGGGCAACGGGGCCGATCGCTGTGACGACGCTGTGTGGTAACGGGGCGCCTCCGCTTGGGGTGGGGAGCACTGTGTGGTGTATACAATGCTGGGTCACTAGGTTGCACACCTGAAACTAATATAAATTTGTATGTCAATCTGCAATTAAAAAAATACTGAGGAAGAAGGATGTTGGGCCTCAGGCTTTGCCAAACACCATCCACTGCTCTCAAAAATAATTCTGGCAAGAACCATGAATGCCACTGGTCACAGTGGATGCAGGCCTGCCTTTCTGGAGGAGGAAGGGGGATGGGGGCGCTGGGGCGGGGTGGGGGCAGCCACACAGGGCACTTCCTGCGTGAAGGGCGGCTGTGCTCCCCCGGGACATGGGGCGGGGGCGGGGGAGGCACAGCGCCGGCCTGCCGCCTACCTTGCTGCAGACGGCCTTCACTCCATGCAGCCTATCCAGGGACTCCTGAGGGCTCCCCAGGTACTGCTGAAGCTCCGCGTGTAGGATCCGCATTGAAAAGGGGACCATGGAGCCTGGAACGAAAGCCAGAGTTGAGTGAGTTTGCTGGCTGTAACTAAGCACGCTTTCACCCTTAGCACACGTGACGGGGGCCTGCAGTGTCTGAGCAGAGGCCATGACAGAAGCCCTTTATTTCCTGGTGAAGTATGCAGTGGTGCCAATTACAAAATGTATGGGAGTTTTCTTGGTAAAGCTGTATGAAAGTATGTTCTAGACAATTATCAAAGGAGAAAGGTAGAGGTCACCACTTTCCCCAGACATGCCTCAGTCATGCATAAACGAGACCCCCCCCAATAAAAGACACGACGGAACACAAGTACGTTCCGGTTCCTTGCGTCTCCTGGGTACGGCAAGCTCAAGCAGAAAGCTGTGCGGGTGGGCTCCCCGGAGGAGAGCTCTGTAAGGTGGGATCCCTGAGGGGCAGATCTGTAAGCAAATACAGAGGGAGATGGAAGACGGAGGGGGAAGCTGAGGGCGGGTCTTGGCCCAGATCCCAAAGATGGAGCCAACATACATGTGCATGTGGGTGACGACACGTGTGTGGCTCTGGAGTGGAAGGTCTAACTCAGAGCTGTCCAAAACAAAGTTAGCAAACAAACGTGACAGTGTATAAAATGAATTATACACGATGACCAAGTGGGATTTATTCCAGCAATGCAAGGGAGCTGGATGTGCAAACGCCATTCTCCAGGGCTGCCCCAGAGGAGTGATTCCAGGGCACTTTCAGCTCTTGTCAGTGTGACGGGGGTGAGGACGGAACTGAAAGGTGCTGCAGCAGAGACGAACCTGCGCGCAGGATTTGAATGGGGTGCCGCGTCTCTCGGGGTCTTTTTGTTAATGCCATGTCCTCTTCTAGTATGATTAGGGATATGATCTATAGTATTAATACTAAGGACATAGAAACCTTCAAAATAATCAAACAGCCAGCACTAATTGTAAGTGAGATAAGGCATATGAAAATGTCAGCAGAGGGCAACCAGTGAGTTTCAGAAAAGGACTTTTAAAAATAGGTCAAAGCTGCCATTATTCACATCTGGAATATAGTCTGTAAGAAGGCTAGAAAACAAGCTGTGTGACATTTGCAAGCCACTTAGCCTCTCTGTGCCTCAGCCTATCTACCTATCTGTGAATCATCTCTGTGCTTCGGCCTGTCCATCTGTCTGCCCATGAACCATCACTGAGGGCCTACCACGCGCTACACTAAGCTGGCATCATGTACTTGGAAAGAAAGAGCTAACATCAGTCATCTATGTGTCCACCTCAGGTTGCTAGAGACAAACAAAAGAAAAGCAGAAGAAAAGTAAAAATAAGAGCAGAAGTAAATGACAATGAAAATAAGAAGTCAACAGAGAGAAATCAACAAAACCCAAAGCTGGTTCTTTGACACAAATCAATAAAACTTATAACCTCTGGCCAGACTAACCAAGAAAAGAGAGAAGACATGAATTAGTAATATCAGAAATGAAAGAGGGTCACTACTACTGATGACATGGACATTAAAAGGATAATAAAGGAATTCTACGAACAACTCCATGTCCACAAACTGTGTAACCTGGATGAAATGGGCCAATTCCTTCAAAGATACAAAGTACTAAAATTTACACGAGGAGAAACAGGTAATCTGAGTAGGCCAATACCTATCAAGAAATTAAAACAGTTAAATAATAATCTTTCAAAAAAGAAATCACCAGGCCTAGATGGTTTCACGGGTGACTTCTACCAAACACATAAGGGAAAAATGGTACCAATTCTCTACGATCTCTTCTAGAAAAAGCAGAAGCACAGGGGACACTAATTCATTCTGTGAGGCCACCATTATCCTCATACCAGAACCAGACAAAGACATTACAGAAGAGGAAATTTATAGACCAATATGGCTCATGAACATAAAGACAAAAATCCTCAACAAAATTAGCAAGTCAAATCCAACTAAACTGAATTCAACAAAAAATTAGCAAATCAAATCCAACAGTGTATAGACCATGACCAAGTGGGATTTATTCCAAGTATGCAAGGCTGGTTCAACACTTGAAAGACAATGAATGTAACCCATCATATCAAATAGGCTAAACAAGAAAAGTCAGACAATATATCAATAGATGCAGAAAAAGCATTTGACAAAATACAACACCATTCATGATAAAAACTCTCAGCAAAGCAGGAACTAAGGGAAATTTCCTCAGCTTGATAAAGAATATACACAAAACCTCCAGCTAACCACCTACTTAATGGTGAGAATCTAGAATATGGCAAGACGACCCCTTCTTAGCACTTGCACTGAACAGCGTACGGAAGCCCCAACTAATGCAAGAGGACATGGACAGTAACAGGAACTGTCATTCATTGCTGGTGGGGGAGCAAACTGCCCTAACTGCTGTGGAGGACAGTCTGGCAGTTACCGTGACACTAAACGCGGCTCTCCATGACCCAGCAGTGGCACTCCTAGGTTTCTACCAAGTCCAACCACAAACCTGCACAAGAATGTTTCCAGCAACTTTATTCATCATTGCCAAAAACTGGAAGCAACGAAGATGTCCTTTAGTAGGTGAATGGATGAACTGTGGTACATTCAGACAACGGAATCTTTTCCATTAATAAAAAGAAATGTGCTATCAAACCACAAAAAGACATGGAGTAATCATGAACGCACACTGCTAAGGAAAAGAAGCCAGTCAGAAAGGATACATATTGTGCAACTCCAACAACGACACATTCTGGAAAGGACAAAACTATGGAGGCAGTAAAAATATCAGCGGTTAGAGGCTGGGGGGAGGAAGGAATGAAGGGGCAGAGCACGGAGGCGTTTGAGGGCCGTGAACTCGTTCCGCACCAAGCACAGTGACGGGCACAGGTCACTATACCTTGGTCCAGACCCAGAGAAGGTACACCACCAAGAGCGGACTCCAAACTACAGTCTTCAGTATAACAGACCAACCATTATTTGTTCACCTACTGTAACAAATGAACCACATAATTGTAAGATGCTGACAGATGTTAATAATGATAAAAGATGTTCATAAAAACCGTGTGCAGGAGAGTAGAGGAGACCGTACTGTTTGCTCGACTTTTCTGTAAGCCTGAAAGAATTCTAAAAAATAAACTTTAAAAGAATAGAAGAGAAACCCAACTGCATGTAGAAAGCAATATACAAAAAGGATGGTACCCAAAAGTATAAGATGGAACACGTGATTTTTCTAAAAACCCTTGGGGTAAGTGGATGGCCAAATGAAAGAAGATAAAACCAGATACATTCCTTAGTCGTGGAGAAAGGACTGTGTTCTTGGCATCTCTCACTGGAATTGTAAAAAGGATGTTTTTTTCTAGAAATTCTAGATAAGGTAGCCCGCCGCTGTAGCTGAGAGTCACGCCAGGACCCGATTTAAGGCACACCGAGCGGCTGGAGAGGCTTCTGTGTGCTGACCTCTGGCCGCAACTAGGTAGAAACTTAATTCCATGGAGAATACTTTCCAAGCACCAACTACTTTGTACATAAACTTTTGGAATACAACTGGGCAGAGTATGTGGTTGTTTGAAACATTAAACCACAGAAAAATAGTCTAGTTTGATGAAAGTTAAAAAGGTGTAAGTTTCTATGTGGTACGAGCAGCTTTAAAGCTCACAACTTCGATTGAGATACTTATTTTTAGCCTAAAGAGATGAGAAGTAGATTAAAAGAAAATAATTTTAACTAATTATATAAAAATATGCAAGCAGATAGAGGAAGATACAGACTAATTTTGGAGAAAAATGACACATACAAGGTGAGTTCGAAGGTAACAGAAACCCTAAGAATCTGAAACCTTGCCTCAAAGTTATCCTTTGGCCAGCTGTGACCTCACCTGCATGGACCTGGTAGAGACGTCAGCCCCACCCAGACCTACTGCATCAGAACCTGCAGTTGGCAAGATCCTGGGTGATATGTGGACGTGTAAAGTTTGCGAAGCTCTGCTCTAAACCGTCGCCTCATGATGTGAAGTAAAAACGTACTCATCCCAGTGCCATTAAGCAGTGATTTCTAATTTCTTAAACATAGCTCAAAATGCACATCCCAGCTCATTAGGATCAAATTAAACCTTGGAACCAGTACTATAGAGAATATTCATTGTGTCATGCAAGAAAAACCTCCCTCCTTAGATAGGTCCTTGCTATCTCCTACTTTTTAAAAACAATACAGGCATTTGAAGATGAAATGGGGGCAAGAGAAAGGACACTGAGAAACCAAGGGTCCTGCATCTCCTGAGCATGGCTGTGAACCTGGCATTGGACCTGCCCATGTGGCTGCTGCCTCTGTGCCCAAGTAACCATTAAGAGCTACCAACTCCTGGGAGTGTATGGACCCTTGTTCCCACCACCAGGACTTGCTCCTCCACTGGCTGCTTGGTTCTCCCACCCAGACGGAGGATGAGAGAAGCACCTGCTGGGAGCTCTGTGGCAGGAAGAGGGTGGTCAACCCTGGGCAGAATCCCCTGCGCCATCTGCGCGCAGTCTTCCCTGCAGCAAGCAGGCATCCATCACGCCTGCCGTCCAGCCCTGCCATCAGAGCCCCTCTGCGGCACCGTGCACGGGTCGGTCAGTGGAGGACACTGCCTATGGCAGGTGACACTCAAGATGCCTCTGAGACCTGAGTCTGGGGCTTGGACTCTGCCCAGACAGCAGCCAGGCATGGCGGGGGAGGGGGGGTGATGGAGAGCAGCTCCAGGGCTGGGTCCTCAACACGTGGCCCTCACCTGTGACCTTCCCAGAGCAGGAGAGACTCCCTCCTGTTCTCTCTCGGTCCCACTAAAAGGTCTTGCGTCGCTTAAAAACCTCAAATAAAAAAACCAGAGGAAAGCACAAATACAGACTCATGTAAAGGAGAAAAGTGAAAACAAATCAGGGAGAAAAACGCCCCTTCCTAGAAAAAATACACTCTTCCCGGGGTCAAAACAAGAAAAGAGCAGCAGCTGTGGAAGGAGCTCCACCTCCAACACCTGAGTTTAAGTGAGCAGATGCTGACAGCAGCCGGAACAGGACA